ATCCTGATATCAGAAATAGGGCTCATGCAAAAAAACAAAAACAACAAAAAACAGCAACAAGCATTGAGATATTACTTAAAAGCAAGGGAGTGGGACAGCAGGCACAGTCTAGCCTCGGACTGAATAGAGTGCTGTGTGTGCACTGCAACAAGATGCATTTGGTATTAGTCACAATCTGGAAGGATCAACAACACTATGCTTGATACTTGAGCTGCACATCAGAAAACATGGGCATCGAAAAGCTCCAGAAAGCCCACAAGCAATAACCACCCTCTCTACTTTAACGGTACACTTTATCTTTCTTCAATTTCTTCTTTTCTCTTGTGTCCTCACTTAACAGAGACCCCAGAATGAGGCTTTGGTATGGTTTGGAAAAGCAGCTCCACTTGCCCAACCCAATGCCAGCGGGCTGGATGTGGCGCTGAGTCATAGTGGTTGAATCAATGTTTAAATTTGGAGCATGTGATGTGGATTTATTCAAGACATCTTACAGCAATAGGATCTGAGCAGCTATTTCTGATGACAATGTTTAGCTCAAGCCGCTAAAAACACTGTCGAGTGCTCTCTTTGATTCTGAGAGGGTTTGTGTTATACACTTGTCTTTGACACTCTCTGGAGTGTGCTAAAGAGCTTATCTGTTTGCTCTGGACAGCAATAGATTAGCAGTTATTTGCAGAGGATTTGCATATGGCTGAGTCAATAAATCATGATTAAAGGCCTCTTTCAGCTGATCATGTGTCAGAATTAAAGGCTTCCTTTCACAGTAAAATCATAACCTGCTTATATATTAGACGTCTGTAACAGAGTTCTTATTGTTCCATTTCATTTTAGATTAAAAGTATCAACTACAATATTACCAACAAATATTTTTTCCCAAATCATTAAACTGACCCAAAGAGTCTGTTAGACCACTGCATGCACACTAATATATACCCAAAGTATATCACTCACCACAGATCAAACTCTTTCCTGAAACCTCAGCGATATCAGTGAGACATTAACCGCCATCAGTGATAACGCCCTTCTAACACATTTCCTGTTAATAGTTTAAGAGGAGAATAAGTACCTGGTTTTGGCACTGAGTTGGTCATGGACTGTGGCACTTTGTCGTTTATGAGCTCCACACACTCACTGGGGAAGAAGCCAACCTGGAAAGAGTTACAGCACAGAGAAAAGTGGGAGGAAATACAATCACATTTTAGAAGACAATAATGGCACCCGAGGGCGTAGAGATGTTAAGGAGTGGTTGCCATATCAGTTATATGATTTATGGCAGATTTTTACCATTTTGTCATCACGTTACATAAACACTTCCCTTCGAAACTGAAGCAAAACTCAGATAAAATCATCACAGTGGGTAATTTAGGTTTGTAGCAGGTTTTACATTTGAATACGATCACATTAACTTTAATTAGCAAAAATAGACATTCAGGTTGCCCAAGGATACAAAAAAAACAAACAGTGCGAATAATGTTAGCAGGTCAGACTACATGGCAGTCTGGAAAAAGTGGGATTCAAAAGGGTCTGTTTATGACTCAGACACACTCAGATTAAAAACAGGATGGCAAACCGCCTTGTTGGTTGATGACTGCACTGATTTTTTTCTGCATTTGCTGACCAATTGGAAACAGTTATGGGATTCAACAATAAAGGGTGTTGCATGCTCAGCCTCTGGGTGAATCCTTTCAATCACAAGGCAATTGCACACGTCACCTGGTGGGTGGCACCCTCTCCAAACGATGGCGGCCTAACTCTGACTTTATACTGAGCAAAACCCATCTACACATGTCAGTGTTAAAAAGGAACTAGAACCAGCTGGTTTCCAACTGGATGCATTCACACTGTATTCTTACTGAACATAAAAGCGAGGTTACAGAGCACCTATAGTATCTTGCACTTAAACCAGCATCCTGGAGAAACCACGTCACCATTTCCCCAAAATTTCCCAGGTGTGGGACAAATAAAGGATCATCTTATCTTCTTCGCAGGAATTTCCCTTTCACTTTCAAATCTATTGAGCCCATTCAATCCCAACCAGCAACCTGACAGTGCTATCCCTCAGCCTCCTCGTACGTACACCTACGGTATCAATTTGAAACTCCTACATCACCTCGTTCAAGTTATCGACGATATCCTCCCATCAGCCTTTTTACGGATGGGGGTAAAAGAAAAACAATACAATTGCAAGTTCATTGCACATCAACACTCCATTTGTACATAGTCACTGTGTTCCCAAGTGTGACTGTAGTTTACAGAGCTACAAAGCCTAAAAAGAGGAATTAAAAGCCACCCAGTGTCAGAGCAGTGAAGTTTCAAAGACTGAATGCCATGTCGAGAGAAACTGTCATTGAGGATTTTACTGTGGGCCAGCCCAGGTGGACCAGACTGTGGAAACCAGTTAAATGTACGTCAGAACCCTGATAGCAGAGTTTTGGACATGTTGCAGTAGCCTATGTGGCATAATGGCACAGTAGCCTATTCTAAATCTGCTAAATCTGAAGCTGCTCTTTACCCATTATGGATTTTAACCTAAAGTTTACATTACACAATAAAACACAGGAGTATTAGTGGTACAAACAGGCCACTTCTGCCATCATCAACTGCCCCCTACTGGTGGTGCAGTACTCCATCAGTTCTACCAAGACATCCTAGGTTTGAGTTTCACTTTGCTTTTACTGTTAACAAAGTTCAAATGTGACAAACTGAGTGAACCTTTCATTCATATAAAACATCTATAAATATAGACCAGCCTACATGTGTTCAAGTGTTCAGAAACTCTGTAATCCAGAGGAAGCTAGCTATTTGTAGCTAGTTAAACATAAATGATCAGTAAACATCCTGCTAGGGCTGGACTATTCACCAACATCACATAACCTTTAAAATATAGGTTCTCAAACTAAATGAGGAACAATTAGTTCCTCATCGCTGTGATCACAATAGGATCTGGTTATGGTCAGGAAGCAAAAACTATACATGTGGGTATGTGGGGATTGTTCCAGATCCTTTCATAGACATAAACTATAACACTGCACCCACTGTTGCCTGGGGTGTTGCAATTATTTGGACGGAGCCAGTCAGGAGAAGCAGCGGGGGTGATAATGTTGAGGGATGTGTCAAAAATAAAGACTTGTCAGGCAGAAGGCCGAGCTCCGCGTAAGGCAACATCTTCCAGCCGATGATGTGACCTATCAAAAACCTGGAAAGGCAACTGCTGTAAAATTAGTATTATAAACTTCCACACTGGGCTTTGGTGTCTTCTTTTAAGCGCATTAATTAATTAATTTCTAGATCATTTTCACTGTTTCACCAGTTAAGCACCACCAACGCAGCCCCCTGTTTGGCTTTAATGCTGGCCTCCTTTACACCTGAACACCCACTTAGCAAATCTTACCCACAGTGTTTTGTATACACTTGTCTGGGTAAAAGTTTCATACACACAAACACAGTGGACATACTGTTCTCCTATGTTATTGATGACCTTCATTTCAAAATACAACTGTCGATTTAAGTGTTTTCTTAGACTGATAGGATTCATGTTAAATAGTGATTAAGCAAGCTTTTTGACTAACTTCATCAGTATTGTGACTACTTTGACCGACAGGTATTTTAACTTAGGCAGCAGCAGCTGATTGGTACCTTACCTCCATTAACTGAACAGGACCTCCGCACTGCTTTTACAATACGGCCTGCTCCTTGGTATAGATTGTCCAACAGGTGTGTGCTTTCCGTGAGTGAAAGCTAAGAAATTTTGAATGTGCCAATGCCCCCTTTATAACGCCAATTAGTTCAGTAGCCAATAAGAGCTAAGTGGATGCATGAAGCTGGAGCTAAATGCTATTAATATGGAAGCAGTTTGTTTAGTTAATGAAGTTTTAATGACATTTGTAGAATGACATAGGGCTTTAACAGTATGAACATGTGTCCAATAACAGCTATGCTAACAACACCATAGTATGCTCCATTTGATTACTTAGCAAATCAATTCTTTAAATTACTTTATGTGAATATTAGCATACAAAGTAATTTGAAAATGGAATGCCTAAGTTATTCTTTACATTAGATATGCTAAGAATGGCCAAGAATGGCATCACATATATTCTTACATTGCAGCTAAGAGACAGCTAGCTAATTCTGCCACTAGCAAAATTAAGTCTTAGTGTTAATGCTAGTTGGCTAGCTTGCTAACAGCTAATGCATTATACCTACTTGTGTACTAACTTCTGTATAACATCAAACAGTCTTGATTTCAGCCATCAGTAAATCAATTGCACAAGGTAAATATACATGCTAACATGTCTGTGAAGGTTCTCACAGACATGTTAGCATGCTAATACATGCTAATACATGCTAATACATGCTAATACATGCTAACACTTGCTTCTTACAGTAACAGCCAACATATCGGGGTTAGCCAACTACACAACATGTATCTAGCATTGGTTGCTTTGTCTCATCAGTCAACTTAGACTCAATATAAACACTCTGACAACGTCCATTGCAGTTTTCTAACAGCTGTGGCTGCCAGGTTACACACAGCTCCTTTAACTTCAGTCATGTGCTGTTCATGGTTTTATCTTCTTTCACGAAACATGCAATATTTTTAGTACCAAGAGAAAATCATGCTCACACTGCATAATGCTCAGGGTTATGTGTGAGCAGATAAAACCATGAACAGCACATGACTGACTATATATGCACACAACGTAGGAATATGAATTAACTCAGATGCACCACGTAATCTCCCCCAAAGCTTCACATGAAGGTGGATTTGTATCTCCCTTTGCCTTTCAGCAGACTCTTAAATATTTGAAGTTTACTTTACAAAGAAGCTCTTTGTCCTTGAAAACCTCAAATACAAGTCATATCAAAAGTTTACAGCCAGAGGGAAAGAACGTGCGTGCTGTGTGAGAGTTTCTGTTTCAAGGTGCTTTGTGAGCAGCGTACCTGAAAACCATGCTTGCCCCTCCACCATGTGGTGTCCTCTTTAGGGGGCATGTCAATCACAGACACGATGTCGCCAACCTGCAGAGAGTAACAAGCTGACATCAATGATTGTTATAACTGAAATGACAATACATCTAAGCTGACTTCCTCTCACAAGTGCATATTTAGTAAGGATTGTTTAGAGCTGAAAAGCTTGTCTTGAAAGACAAAAAAACAAACACCTACTCAGTTTTCATATTTATTTACGGGTAATATCTGGACCGAAGGCATCTTTATTGCTGTTTCAGTTCGTTTTCCTCTTGTATCACCATCTGTGTAACATTAACTGCTACAAAGCCAGTTTAAAAAAATAGGTGTAAAGAATTCACTCTCATATTTTGACACAGAGTAAGTGAGAGTGTGCGCTAATACTAGTCATCGACAAAACAAGCATTCATAAGCTGTTGTCTCTATCAGGGTTTTGCCTCAGTAACACAGCATGGGTCTACTAAGAATTTTAAGGTGTAAGTCACTGGACAGTCACTTTTTACTGTTCAGGGAATCAGCGTGTAGAAATCTTTATTTCCAGAATTTAATACAGCTTTAAAAAAAAGTTTGAAACTCCAGTACAACTTTTGGAGAGGGAGCAGTCACATGACCATGGCAGACCCAAACATGCTTTGCAGCACACACGGTTGCTGTAACAGTACACTCAACGGCTGCAGCTCTCCTGCTGCCAGCCGTACGCATCAACACCAAACACAGGACCCGGTGCAATATTTAAGTCGGCGGGGCACGATTGCAGATGCCGTGCAGGTGCAGGTGCGTCCACCTTCCCTGCACGGCATCGCAGAACACACCCCGCCACAGTGATTTATCTTACATCATACAAAGTTACACCAGTTAGTCAGAGATAAATGAAAGCAAAGCAACAATAGACTACACTGAGTTACTGAAGCTAATGAAACAGAGACAACTCTCTACATATATGTATATTTGTCCCTTAAAGACAACATCCATACATCTTCAGCTTAACTGGGGTGTTGCAGCAGCCTAAGCAGAGAAACCCAGACCTCCCTCTCCCCAGCCGTCACCTCCCACCAAGCAATAGAATCTCTCTAATGTCTCCTAGGTCTATCTGTGGCCTCCTCCTGGTAGGCACCTCACACAGAAAGCACCCAGGAGGCATCTTAGTCAGATGCAAGAACCAGCTTAACTGCTCCTTTCAATGCACAGGAACAACAGCTCTACTCAAATGACTGCACTCGTTACATTACCTCTAAGG